GACACTGGTACCTTAGGGTTTAAGAAGGAGCCTTTCATGGGGACCTTGTCAAGCGTCTTGCTGAAGTCTACAAAAATCACATCCAATCGTTACCCAGCGTCTGAGGATCTCGCCCAGTTTTCCCTAGCAACAAGCAGGTTCGAGGTACATGAACGTGTCCGCCGAAAGCCATGTTGGGCACAGGAGACGATGTTAAGGTTCTCGAAGTGAAGATTCAGGGCGCGTTTGAGGACCCTTTCCATTAACTTGCACAGTAAGGCCGTTAGGCAGATTGGTCGATAGTTTGCAGGATCTTGACGATCCCTCACTTGTATAAAGTCTTAACGGTCCCCAATTTCCAAGCAACCGGGAGTCGTCCAGCTTTCAGGGAGTGATGAAATATCTGACAGACGGGAGCAGCAATGTATTCCGCCACGGTCTTGAGGAGTAGCGGGTGCAGTCCATCAGAACCCGGCGAGGAGTTCGGATCTAATTCACGAAGGCCTTTGGCCACGTCAGCCACACTCATTTTTATGTGCTGCAACGAAGAGGGGTGGATTGGCGCGGTGTCATCGGGTAACGGTGTCTCGATCGCGTAAACAGATGAATATTGCAGGGCCAGTAAACTGGCTTTCGTGCCACCGTCGTCAAGTAAACCGCCCTGCTCTGCAAAAAACAAGGCAGGAATGCCACTGCCAGCTTTGGTACTTCTTTTCAAGTAAGAGTAGAGTGTCTTCGGTGTCGTCATGGATGGCACAGCCAAACTGCGTTCATACTGATGTCGTTTCTGCTGCTTTTTCAAGGTGCAGTCGTTTCTGATCAATTTGTACTCCGAATAGTCAAGCGCGCAGCGAGTAAGCTTGAATCGGACCCATAATTTACTTCTTTTGGACATTAAGCACCTCAATTCTCGGTCTATCAATACAGGGCATCTGGTAAAGGTTTGCCTTTTGCAAATAGGAACAACCTGCTCAACAAGCGAAATCAGCTTGGAGTACAAAAGATTCCACTTCTCATCTGGTTCCGAGGATAGAGGGATATTCCAGTCCACACCGCTAGCGGCCGCTTGCAGGCGGATTGGATCGGCACGCCAGAAATTTCTGCGGAAACTATTTTGGTTGTGAAGAGGGAGGAGTCGAGTCCAGAGGAATGTAACCATACAGTGATCACTATTACCAAGAGGCGGAAGAGTGGTAATGTCTGCGAAATCGGATTGTGCCGGGGAAAGCACAAGATCGAGAATATTGGGGGTTTGTCCGATACATATACGGGTAGGCACAGTGACATGTTGAAATAGGTTACACTAGAGAACGGTTTCCAAAACGTCCGCAGCGAAAATGTCTGAAGAAGTGGCACAGTGCAGCAAATCCCAGTCGACACTTAGGGTATTGAAGTCTTCCAATATTACACAGTCCTTTCCCCACCATGCATTTTAATCGAATCCAGCAGCCGAGTTCCGGAACCCAATGGAGCCTTGTAGACAACCCGATCGTCAAAGATCTGCTGACCTTGACGCGCTTTGAATGTTATTGGCAAATGCAATTTGTACAAGTTAACCCTGTGTTACTAAATCAGCACAAGTTTGCTTAGCACAAAATACTTTGTTTCGGATCATCAGTTTTGTTGCGTGATGGCTGAATGGTCGCTGCAGGTTTTGCAGGTAATTGTCCCGTCGCCCTCGGCTATCGTTTGATCGCCGATCGTTAGTAATTGTCAAATGACGGACTCCTCGTGCATTGTGTCTTCCATCCGTGAGACATGATTGCGGCTAAGGCCTCTGGCGTAAACAGTTATCTTGCTGGGCAGGTTGGCTGACGGCACCGGCTGAAAACAGCATTGTGGAAACTTGTCAGTTGATTCGCTAAAGGAGTTCACGATGGGAACGTAATTTTCTCGGTAGTAGTATCACAGGGTAAAGTCATGAGATGGGTGAAATTTTAATCGGAAGCTGGGAGACGCCTCTAGCGAAAGCAGGTAAAATCCTGGGTGTGTGATTACAACCGCTTGAACAATTGCCGTTCCAGCAGAGCGAAAAATTGCCCAAATTCGATGGAAAACAGTTGTAAATATTCCGTTAATAGGTTCTCGGTAGATGGAGTTCGGCAGACCGAGACGAAAAATTGTACCCGGCTACTGCGACAAAAAGTCGCCCTGAAAACACAAAAGTACGTGGAGTATGCGATGGAGCGTTCACCTACATTTTCAACTTGCTGAGGCTGGCCCGGAAGTTTCCTCTTAGGCGCGAAGACTTGTTGTGCTACGTTGACGTCGAAGACTGCTCCAAGAAAGTCAACGTCGGATATTGTGGGATAGAGCATACTGTGAAGTAGACCTCCGGCATTATTCGGTGCATTTCAAGCACCAAGTATTAGGCGGTCTTTGTTGCTCCAATAAGTCTTGAGTGAGTAGAGAACACAGTTAAGGTTGCCGGACTGTGCGCTGAACACTGCGCCGACTGTAAGGAGCTTATATCTGTCCTGCATTCGATACCAGTGCATCTCCGTTCCACCATCGCCGATTAACCGGATAACGTGGGCTTTAAGTTTTGCACTCTAGTAATGGATAACACCACCCACAAGCCTCGTTCCATGGCGATCAGCTCTAGAAAGCAGGTAACCGGCGTTATGAACCTCACCATCGGACGTATACCAAGATAATCAGGGTTCGGTCAAGTCTAGCATGTCTGGGCGCATCAAACTATACAATTTTCCATTGAAGTTGGACATTCGGGCAAAACATTTACGCCTGGGGGTCAACGGGGTTGCTCCTCCAGGGCAATCAAGTTGAGTCTTCGCTATGCAGAATAGAACCACTCACTGGCATGGTAGGGGCTGTTTCATTGGCCAAGCGCCTGAGGTCCTATTTGCTGAAGGCGCTTGGCCAATGAAACAGCCCCTACCATGCCAGTGAGTGGTTCTATTCTGCATAGCGAAGACTCAACTTGATTGCCCTGGAGGAGCAACCCCGTTGACCCCCAGGCGTAAATGTTTTGCCCGAATGTCCAACTTCAATGGAAAATGGTATAGTAAGTTAGAGGATCGCATTCAGTTTGTTGCTCATGCTGTGCGGGTTGGTAGACCTCACGCGCAGTCCGTGTATCACCCTTGATCCTACAATCCGTGTAGGACAATGATCGGCCTCCAGCGTATGCTTGGGATTCTCTTCACAACTCAAAAACCACAATATGGACGTTGGTCGCACCGCTTGATCATCGGGTTCTCAGCTTATCTGCGGTCAGCTTCATCTTAACACAGACCTCGGGGCAAACACTCTCAGACCACGAATATTTCTCCCCTAAGCCGTGAAGTCTGCATTTGGACACCTTGCTATTCAGCCCTGTCTTGGCAGACAATGATAAGGGGAAGAAAGCAGAGACTTCCTGTGTGCTGCCGAGAAGGAATGCGGAAACCATGTTGTTTCTCTGTTCTCCGTCGTCACACAATACGGACAACATCAGTTGTGAGAATTTTTGACCATCCGGTATCTCTCTCTGTTGTCGTTTCCTTATCGGATTTCGAGACAGTGCTGCCGTGGGGATTTAACTCCTACAGAACCAGTAGGCTTGATGGGGTTTTCATTCGTCTTACCTGTATACTCTATCTGATCATCTAGTCTAAGAACAACTTAAGCTATGACCGTGAGGAGTCATTCTGGGTCTTATGTTTAACGGCTCTATTTACGTTATCTTTGAAAAGAGCTGTAGCTGGTTTTGTTCTGTAACAAATGAAATAGGCATATGCTTTTCTCTGGTTACTGTGTTCTCCAGGTAGTAGTCGCTCTGGGGAAGAGGTAGAATGATTTCGACTATGGTTTACATCTGGAATTGTTTAGCCGAACGCAGCGGGTTATAGACTGAGAGCGGATAATGGCTCAGCTGCTTGTATTATTGGCATGAGTCTTGAGGTCCTTGTTCTTGTGAACTTGCTTGTGGTTTGCTTTATTCTAGCTCTGGTTTGGGTGCTGGCACTCGATGCTCTGGTATAGGTCTAGGGTTTTATCTTTAGCCAATTACTAGTCAATGCGGGCAACAGTATTTCTGGTAACGTAGTGGTGGAGGCGCGGCTTCCTTTAAATTTGGCTGTTGAATAACCACACAGGGCAACTTCCGTAATGGCAGGTGTTTCACCATCAGAGTGGGACACGGATTGTGCGGAAGCTGTATGTACGTTGAATGGATGAAGCTTCGTCATAAGTTGTTTGTCGCTGGTGACTATAAAACACGGGTCACAGTGGAAGTTGATGACTTTGGACGCGATGTGCTGAGGACAGTGGTTAACATCGAGCTAAATTTTACAGCTCAACTATACGTCCATCTTTCGATGAGGGCGCACTGGACATTAGACCGGAAAGTGTCACCTTTACTGCAGTCCAAGCACTTGGACGTCATACTTTCCGAGAGCAAATTTTGTGAAGGGTCAAATTCTGTTATACGTGTTCAGTCAAACCTTTCTCTTTACGATAGACTAAATTAAAAGTCTTGAAAGTATAGCATGCCAAAGTCAAGTTACCGCGTCAAGACCATTTCAGGTCCTGACTGCAACTTGTTTTATATTTCTACTAGTTCCTCTATTTTGGCTACAAGTTTATAGATACAAGTTTTGGTTGGCACTTGGCGTAGTTCCCAATATTCCATTTAACCCTAGAAAGGCTTCCTTATTGCCATTACCAGTAACAACTGTACAAGGATGCCCTTAAAAATAACCTGCTATTGTTTTACATTTGCTCATGCTTAAAGATATCAGTGCTTAACGTTACGGAAAATGTATCACACTGCGCTAGTTTCAAGGCCATTACCATAATTTCGCGTTCGCATCTTTTAATTTGGCTTAATGAACATGATGTGCAGCACTCACATTATGGGGAACTGGTTTTGCGACCTACGTTTAGCAGCACAACTACACTCATTATAGTATTTGCTAAAATAAATTAATGCGACTTTAAATATACCTATAGGAAATAAATAGAGCAAGAAAGTAACAGCCAGTACGCATGCTGATTGCACTTTTTGTAACATACTAAATGTGAATAATTTGATATCTGAAAGGTAAGCACACTAAACACGAGGGAACTAGATAAAATGCAATGATGCCGTTCAAGCTTGTCGTCTGCACTGTAACTAAATTATTTACCTTTATTAAAAGCATATGAATACCTGTCAGTGCCGTTTCAATATTGGATCGCGCCATTTACGGCAGACGGACACAACGACACCGCGTAGTTTTTAGCCCTCAGTTGAATCTGAGTACTTCGGTTTCTTTGAAACCTGAAGGAATTGAGTGCGCAGCTTGCGTACTATTTTAAATACTCAGATCTGTTTATACTAAACACCGAACATTTGTGTACTTTACGCATATATTTTACGCCTTTTATTTTCCTGCCTGTTCGTTAAAGCAACATTTTGCCAATGACAATTTTCCTACCACTTATTAAGTGATATAGGTCGGTTGACCATTCCTTAAAACAAATTCCTTGCAATGCTTCATTATCTGTGTCAGATATGTAGTAAACCTCATCCTTATTTTTACAGTATACTTTGGATCAGCGGATTTAGAGGTCGCAGGCAGACCTTTGCCCTAACCCAGTAATTACCGGAATGCTTGGTTTTCACAACTGCGAATTCTGCCATTATGAATCAGGTAGCGCCATGTAGTGAAATTACAACGTCCCTCGAATCTGATGTCCCGGAATTGACGCGTGCGATCAAAATAATTGAATCTGCTAAACAGCATGCGCATGAAAGATTGATTCTGAGTAGCTTGAAGCTGTTCACGGTTCCACGGGAGATACTGGAGCTGCGACACCTAAAGGTATACTACCACATTTATTTACCCATACAAAGAAAGTGGTTTTGTCCCAAAACCGTTTAATCGAACTACCAAATGATTTCTTCTCTGTGTTAACGCATTTATCTTGGCTGGACCTGCGCTCTAACTTGCTAACACAAATTCCAGCATCAATCAGAAAGATGGTCCATTTGGAAGTGTTGCTAATCGACGACAATAGAATAGCTGTTCTTCCTTTTGAAATGGGTACGTTTTAGTCTAATAAACTAATCTGCTTTTGTTTTTCAGGCCTCTTAAGAAAACTTAGAGCATTGCATACGCGCAATAACCCAATAGATTTCCCACCCAGTATGATATTAGAGTCTGGGCTAGAAAATATTTTGCGATTTCTCAAAGCGTGTTACATCTCAAGAACACAAGCGAATACGCAAAAAGGTGGGTGATTATTTGCTCGGTTCCACCATAATCCCTGTCTACCCAGATGGGAGACCCGTGGTCCCATTTAGGTGTGTATTTTGTCACTCGCAGTGGATGAGTACAGAAGTAAATAAATAGCGTATTCTGTTCATATGTATTGTTAAATGCTGTGGCGCAGCACGAACTCAGCCACTTTTTACCTATAAGTCTGAATTTTAATAACTTCCTAATCACAATCAACGAGAATGAACAATATGCTACCCCAGGTTGACCGCTTTTCCTTCTAGCCATCTTAGGAAGACAAAGTTAAGAAGCATTGCTGTCTTTCAGAGCTTTTCGGTGTAGCCAAACGGCTTTAGCATGACTTAATTGCGATTACGTAACCATGTTCGTTTAGTGTGGCTGTTATTTGCAACCAGGCTTAAGGATTTCACGGTATATGCTAAGACTGCACTGCTTAACACCATTTTAAGTAACCCAAATCCGTCCTAAATTTGTCGCACTTTGACAGCCAGGGGCACAAAATGGATCATTCCAAGTGCTCTGTCAGGCATTCATCTGACATTCTTGGTGTCTAAGACTTCTGCTTTTAGCAGGTAAGCAGGAGTGAGTATCAAGTTTGACGCACATTGCCCCTACCAAACATGACAGCCTGGATTTCAGCGTTGAGGATGTGCACAAATTGCTCGCCAGTCTTGACGGTACTAAGCCTGCTGAGCTTGACATGCTCCATCTGTTGATTCTCTAATCGCTATCGGCCATCGTCTCGCATTCGGTGGCTGAGCTATTCAACAGGTCGAGCGACTGGAATCCCTCAGTGGTGAAACCGGTTATGAAAGGCGGCGATCCAGCAAGGCGGACAACTGCCGGCCGATATACCTGACCTGTGCCTTGACTAAGACACTCTAGAGGGTTGTGAAGTGTGGTTTTCTGTAGCATCTCGAGACGGAGGACAACATGACGCCCGCGCATCAAGGTTTCATGAAAGGTCAGTCATGACCTTTGAATTACGAGTGGTTGCAAGCGCTAAATCAAGGAAAATCGGTTGACGTCATTTACATCGACTGCCATAAAACATTTGATAAGGTGAACCATAAGACCCTCCGAAAGCTGAAAATATTTAATGTTGGTAGCTCACAGCACCAGTGGATCAGTGACTTTCCTATTGGTTGGACGTGGAGGGTACAGGTTGACAACTATCTCGACCAGTAGCATCCTGCAAGGCACAGTTCTTGGGCCCAATTTGTTCCTGATACTCATCAACAATTTGCCGCCGATTCCCTGTTCAGCTTGTGCGTTGTCTGTGGATGATCTTAAAGTATGGAGCAGAATCGAGACGCCTGTCAATTGCGATCTGCTGCAGCGTAACCTTCGTCGCCTCTCCATGTGGCCAGCAAATGTCAACTTTCGATCAACCCGGTCAAGTCGGTATCCATGCGTCTATGAGAGTATGGTAATGGCCAAGTCTACAATCTGACCGGTTAAAGTTTACACTCACCGCCATCCGTGAAAGATCTCGGCGTGCTCCTAGGATGCGCTTTGAAATCCGTTAGAAATACGAACATGCTTTACCGAAGTGGACTGCGCATACTCTGGGGACTCAAACGCAGTTTCTACACTTGGCCCGAAGAGATTGTCACCCGCCTTTTTTATCAGCAGAAAATGTCGGTGTACAGCGCACCCGCATACTGACCACTTATCTGGAGTGTGGTGCAAAGGACTGTGCGAGTACAGCATGTTGCTACAAGGCTAATTCCTGTTTTCAAACTTGTGTCATATGAAAACCGGTGCAAGTTGAAATCATCATGACGCACCGGATATTAGATCTTGGTCATTACCCAACTTTGAAACCACTGCTTTATCTACGCACACCAAGCAGCACAAGAGGATACGAGTACAAGCTTGCCGTACCGGATTTAAAGCAAATCGCTCACCAACTCCGTTTTGAGCGGTGGATAGTAAATTTTCGGAACAACCTGCCTGTATACATAGTCGAACCAAACCCGGTGCCCGAGTTTAAGAAACACCCTGATTCGCAATTGGTCTACTTGTGGTTTTTAAAAAATTCACCATCACATTTGGTAGATGTGTTAAATGCTATTAGATGTAGCTACAGAGGTATCTATACTCGCTGCATATTCTCAGTATTCAGTATTCATTTGCTACGTTAGAGCTTCACCGATTAAGTTGGAGGTATTTTGCATAGGAGTTATATATTGACACTGCAAATGTGCTGCAGGTTGAATAGTAAGAAACTGGTTAACTATTTGAAGTAGGTTTGACTGCTTCCTACTTTCGTATTGCAAGCATGTGTGTTGCATGAACTATTTTTAATTATTGAGCATCGATATATTTCCTAGTTTTCTGCCTAGGAAAGTCGATATAACTCCTTTTACAGCGTTTTTCCATGACAAAATGGCATCGCAATTTCAAAAACGTTTGTTGGCTTAGTTTATTTTGTGGCATTTAGAATTTTATGCAGGAGCTAAGTTGTGCTGCATTGTTTATAAAGTAATATTGGTAGTATGTTTCGTTAATACAGGAGCTGTAACGACTAGTTGCGCCTGCACTATGCACGTTAAAATATTTGCCGCATTGATTGATAAACTCAGTTCGCTATATTAGTAACCGACCGTTTATTTTAATTTTGAATGGTTAACGCACTCAACTTATTTATACTCTTGTATTGAGGGTACTCGGGCTCTATTGTTTAGCAATCACTCAAAATTCGTTTGACCTATATGGTCTATTATTTGAGTTTCTTCACATCAACGTAACCAAAACGCTTTAGATAAATGCGTTGCAAAAGATAAAATAATAAAAACAGTGTTAAGCCCTCTTTATCAATTATATTCCAAACGGTTATGTGTCGCCCGTTCTCAACTAGCGAACTAACCGAGCATCAGGTTAATTATTTGGCTACAATATTTAAGCTTGTCAATTTTCTGCCTTGTAACTCAGAGCTTTGAACTGGAATTGCACTCCGTTTCTTTGACAAAGCTAAAGAAAGGAAATCAGATAGGCGAAGCCATGTCGTACCAGTTTCTCATAATGGACCCCAGGTACAACATCCAGTGTGCAACCCGGATAAGTATCTATGAAAGGGAACTTATGCAACCTTTCTATGGCTTATTAGCATACAGATCCAAGACATACGTGATAAGAGATAAACGTAAATTCTTATCCACTTTGTCGCCCCTGCATATGATGGTCTACCGGCATCTAACTAGCTGTTGATTTGTAGGCAACACTCTGTCTGGGCGGCTTTCCGTGTGGTGTTAGCTAATCATTCATTACATTGGTCACGGACCACATAGCCAGAAAATATAATATCGCCAGCTTCTCACACTTTTGCTACAGCTGCTGTTGTCATTCGTTAACCACCATCATATGTCAACCCTTCCTCTGTTTGGAGTACTTCCTAACCTGGTTTTGCCGACACCCGACAAGCTCGGTCGACTGCCTCATTACTACCTCGATCAAAGGTCCAACTGGCATGCATCAACGTACGAATGTGTATGCAGGTTGGTCAACAGGCCGGTCTGGCACGTACCTTGGAGTCTATCGCCATTCACGTTTGCTGCATTTCCGATACCCGGTTGAAGGATCTCAGCAGTGTACTCAGACTGCTGTCCCCTTATGCTCGCGGGGCCATATGCCAACTGCGTTGAACCACTGATGCAGAAGCAGCTGCGGCAGGTTTGGCTGGCTTGGGGTAGCATTGTGTATGCAAGCGGAAGCAGCGTTGCCCAACTGGTTCTCAGTTAACAGGCGGCCTTGCACAGTTCAGCTTCAGAGATCTTGCTGCGTCAACGGACATCTCAACAAAACACGCAATTCCTTTGTCATTTCTGCCTACGTCTCAACTGACTGTGGCTACGACTGAATCAGGGAGGCTTTTTACCTAGTACTTCACCTTCTGTTGAGTAAAGTGGACCAATCGGCCGTCGTTATAGTTACTAGCAATTTATTACACGGATTGGTCGCCTGACTCCATATAAATGCCCACTGAAGGTCATCGCGAGCTTAACGACAGACGCTCAGAAAACGGAAACCGTCTCCTTACATTGTGCGAGGTCAACCAATTGTTTCCGTCAAGCAATAGTTTCAGTCATGACAAGAGACGTTACGCTACCTGGCGCTTTTTGTAGTCAATGCAGTTCCAGTCCCAGATCGACCACATCGCAGTTTCCGTTGGCGCGGAAGTATAGAGGTTCGCCGATTGCTTTGGACAAACTACCTTTACTCAGATCACGCAATGATTTGTTCAAAGACCTGCATGCGCTTTGGTGGGCCTCAGAAACCAATGCACCGTTACACTGACAAGAACAGGTTAACTGCTCCCTCTGTCCAAATGAGTTATCAGCAGCAATATCGAATGCTCACCCACTTAGGCCACCCCAGGATGTTGAGAAACGTTGGGTTTGTTTGCACAAACAGATAATTCCCTCTGGCCAAGCGCTCTGTGATCTCACCCGACACCCTTTAACAAATAGTGTCTTCGCTCCTTCACTGGAACTGTTTGACGGTCGTCGAAATATGCCACCAGAGTCAACTCATAATCCTACGCGACAAACTCTCAATCGGCAACTCAAACAAAGCCTATGTAATGACCACGATACTTTGGGGTTTCAGCACACCTCGCAGATGGAAACCGCTGTTCTCCATGATATATTCCGCAAGCACTTCCAGCTGATCTTCTTCACCGGCCCCAGAAGACCTGGTGTCCGCGAGAAACTGAAATGCGAATAGGTCAGTAGTAATTTATCTTCATATTTATACACGTTAACTAGAAGGGGGAACACCTCAGCTACTGTGATGCAATACATTACAGAAAAAAGAAGAAAAAATGCAACTGGTGCAAGCCAGTTGAGCTCCCGGTAACGGATGTACATCGTTCCGGTAAGCTAGCGGCCGGCTACTACGTAGCAAAAAGAAATTGCTATGTAAACTTATATAAGGCGAAATATTGAGATCTTGCTTGGAGGGGGAGGCTAAGAGACATGGGGTGGTACAAA